GGGGGCCCCACGGCCCAGCCCAGCCGTGAGCTCCCCGAAGCCTTCCCGACCCCCTCCAGGGCGCGGGATCGGGGCAGAGGAGGAGACCCCCACCGCCTGACCCCGGATCACGAGCTGCGGTCCCGCCTTGTCCTACGCATCCCGTTCAGTCCCTTCTGCGTCAGTTTGCAAACGGGCACCAGAAGCTACCCTGAGGTCCAGGTAGCCCAGGACGACGGCGGGCTGCCCCAAACTAGCCTCTCCCCAAAGCCTGTTCAGCGGTTCTGACCAACGGACCGCTCGCTCTGAGACTCCAGATCCACAAAACAAGGGCAAGCGAGCCCAGGGGAGGCCGACCTCCCCTCTTGGGGGACCCCGGGTGACGGACCCTCGAGCCCCAAGCGGGGGATCCTGGGGTGCGCGAGCCCCAAGCCGGGGACACCTACCCGGTCCTCCGGTGTCTCAGGCCCAGGTTGTCCTTGAGGGGCGGACCGTCCGCAATGCCCACTTCGGGGCAGGCGTGGGGACCGTCCAGGACGCCGCCGTAGGGCCGGCTGCTGCGCTCCCGGTCTGCCGCGCCCCGTTCCTCAAAGAGCACAGCGCCGCCGAGCTTGTTGAAGACGATGGTGTTCATGGTGCCGGCGGCCAGGAGCTCCGTGACGGGACTCTAGCCTTAGGAGACCAAGGGGCATCGCGTTACCGCGGACAGGGTTCGGGTTTCTGCAGGCCTCGGCGAGGGCGCTGGGCTGCGGAGCCCGGGGGCGGAGCGGCCCCGCAGCTACTGGGCCGGCGAACCCCGCCTCTCCCACCTGGCCCTGCACCTCCCACCCCGCCGCTGCCACCTGGGACAGATCCCTGCACTCTTCCCAGGTTACCTCCGGAACCTCAGCGGGAACAACTCACCGCGGGGACAAAGGGAGGAAACCGCAAAGGAGCCACCGGGTCTCGGAGAGGAGCGCACTGGGGAGGGAGGGCACGCAAACCTCCTGGGGCCCCCACTCGGGCGTCAGGAGGGGTGGGGTGGAAAGGGCGACTGCGCCCACAAGGCCCAGTTAAGGAGTGCGGGCCGTGCTGGGATTCGGGGATGTTCGTGTTTTCCAGGTCTTGGGTTCCTGGCTGAGACCCCTGCGACTTTCTGCTAAGGTCTCCCGGGGAGGGGAGGACAAAGCCAAGAGAAGGGGCCCCCGCCTCGGAAAGTTAAGCGGTGTTTGGGACCAGTGCACCTCATCCTCCCAAAGTCGTGCTGCCCCCCAAGCCCGGCCCAGGATGCGCAGGGTCCCGACCCTCGGGGGTGGCTGCGTTCGGAACCTTGCGCTGCGCGAGTGCCCCGCAGAAGGCCAAGGGTAGGGGTGGCGCCCCCCTGTGCCCACGCAAGTGGACAGGGCCCTGCATGGCCAGTGGTTGGCTGTTCACCCAGGACCTGGCCTCAGAGAGCCGGGACCATGAGGGCCCTGACCATCAAACCCAACAGAAACGTCACAGTCAATGAGGCTGAGGCCCAGCGAGGCAAGGTGACCGCCCACAGCTGCCAGGCTCCAGGGAGGCTCCCACCGTCCGTTATCCCTAGATCCTCAGCCTGACTTCTGGGGTGGCCTTGAGCCCTGGGGGATGCCCGATGGGTCCCTGGAGCCTCCCTGCACATCCAG